TGGCAACCCATTCGACTGAACACGAATACGAATAGTTGTACTGCCAGAGCAAGTGACACATAGCTTGTGTTGAAACACACATGTAGTGCCGTACATTGTACCAGGACATGTTGTACTAGTGAAGCCTGAGCTACATGACACATTGGTACCCGTAGTGGCAGTAATGCTGCTAACGGCCACTCCACTACAAGTATTGCTAAAATAGGCAGCCACTGCATTGCAGTCCAATATGGAATTGCTTGCCGTACTTCCAATGGATTGAATTCCAAAGTGAAACAGAATTGCAAAAATAAAGAGAATCATGTTTGAGACGGAATTCGAAATGAGATGCAGTAACTAGTTTCTCTTCTTATATATAATTAGCTGATTGTACTTTCGAGGCCAAAGAAGAAAAAAAAAGTAATGTTTTCATTGGTGCGTTGAAATATAATTTAGTGTTTTATTAAAAAGACGATGAATCAGAATCACGCTATGAGAGTAGTCGTAGGTGTTTATACATGGCGAAAACATCATGCACGATATTCTTGTCAGGAGTAAACACTTTTTATACAACTTAATTGACAATTTTTTCTTGTTTTTCTATTTGATAGAAGAAAATGCAGGGTATCCATCTTACGTTAAATTGCTCAGAGTATGTCATGAAAAAGTACTTTAATAGTACTCACATGAAATACCTGGAATGTGGGTACATTTTATTTTCTCCAACAGGTGAAAGTCTGACAAAAAGTAATTAAGCATAATGTTGATGAATGATGGCAGTATTTGTGAACCTATGTATACATTTTAGCTCTAGTCTGTAATGTTTATTTGTCTACAAGATTAACAAGACAAAATGCGCCATCAGAAATGTTGTAGTTAACTGTAGCAAACTACTGGGATGCGTTTATGAATAAAAAAAATAAAGAAATAATATTCAACAACAGTTAAATTTTAGAACATTTCTTTAGGTTATCGAGAGTGACAAAAAATTGATTGACAGACATAAGTCACTTGTAATCCTGTGATGTCAGTTCATCAAAAATCATTCCTAATAAGAAAATAGACTATATTGACGCGCGAGTTTCTTCTCAGCTTTTTTTAACAACATTATTTTTTATTTTGACCTTAATATCATTTATGTATGATATTTCAGAGATTCATTTTCGTTCATTTTGTGTGAAAGAAACAAATCTGAATGTGATTTTCTCTTGAACATATTTTCCTTTTGTTTTTCATTACTGCTGTTGCATCATTTGTCCTTTTTCTTTTTCTTTTCTCTCTTTTGTCATGTTCTCGTAAACGCCAATAGATGCAATAAAATAAAATGTTTACTTCAAAGTAAACCACATCAAAATATCACCATCTAAATGATAAATATACAGTTAGAAAAGCCGAGGACATAAATATAAGAGAGAACGAAAAAAAAAGAAATCAACGAGGGGCTGAAAAAGAAAAATACGAAGAGCAGAAAAAAAGTCAGATACAACCAAGTGTGTCGTAACGAGAGATAACCTTACCTCTAACTATTTCTCTCGTGAAAAAATATGGTGTAATTACAGTCGAATGTGAAATGGGTAAATAAGAGAAAAGAAAACGAGTAGAAAAATGGAATGACAAAAAAAAGAAAACTTTGTTGGCACTGCCGCTTAGTGGCTGAAATATGAAACTCATACGTTCAAATTAAGCGAACAGATGATTTAGTACAAGTTGTTTTTTTTTATGCAACAAAACATACTTTAAAACGTAAAACAAGTGAAGTGAAACAATCAAATATTTACACAATAAAAGATTTGTTTATTAATAGTGATCAACATTACTGACATAGTACCAAAAGTTTTGTTTTTTAAATCATTTTCGATCTAATCAAATTCTTATTACCTCTTTAATACAAAATACTAAATAGAACGTTGTTTAGTTTGTAAGAACGAATCCATTTTCTTTTGTATCAAATAGTAACATTATTATTTTTATGATATGACGATAAATAATACGAAAACTCTCGAAATGCATGAAGTCTAAATAACTATAATGGTATTTCTCATGAATGAAAACAGTTACAGATAGATGCTGAATTATTAACTATGATAAGAAAAAAAAAAGTTAAACTCTCTTTTTTAGATTTGTTAAATGATGGTTTCATAACAATAATAGTAATAAATAGTTTATTTAAATCAATACTCAAACAAATCAATATAATACGCTATCAGTACTTTTATCTTTAAAATACACACACCATACAATTTAACTACTTCCAATATATCTATAACATTATAAGTGGCAATCTTATTCAAATTCATCTATGATACTTGAGATTTTGTTAATTTAGAAACATTTTAGTTTTTATTGTCAAATATATCTTCAAAATCCTATTTATCTTTTTAATTATAATTAATCTGATAGGTGATAATATAATATTGAATATCAATTCGATTCTGATATTTTTAAACAAAATTATACATATTGATTATTGCAATATAGCGAATTTCTTTATTAAAGTATTTCACATCATTACAAATGATGATGTTCTCATTTTTTAAACAAAATCATATGTATACACAGCACATCAATAGACAATAAATGACATATGTATTATACTATATCTTCTATTGAAACAAAGTCTTACTAATAAAAAAAAACAATCAAACACTCTGACTACAATCATCTTTTTGTCACTTATACGAAATATTACTAATTATTCTCAATTTCTCTATAAATGAATACCTGAATAAGAATAATAATTGTTTTTTTTTCCTATGTATCAAAGGTACTGATTGATTACTCAACATAATACGTACAGACATTATAATACCGGCTTCTTTATCAAAATAGTCCATAAACACATCTGATCACCTTCATTAATGTAAACAAAAAGAAAAAAATTACAATTCTGTGAAACTTTCTTTTGAATGTGAATGAGTTCGCGAAAAAATTCACAAAACAACTATTCAAATATATTTATGATCTCAGAATTACATATCGATAAATCCATTATCGTACATTAAACATTTTCTCACTATTATTAGTGCACATATTAATACCTTAATTCTACACAATATTCTTTGTTGATGTCTCTCTTTGTTCTTAAAATTTCGATCAATGTTGTTCACTCTTCAAATCTCTTATTTTTGCTTGCGTAATAAAGAGCATTTTCAGAGTTGGACGGAAGCAAAATGAGCGGTCGACAAACTGCTGTCTTCTTCCTCATCGTTGATGCGTGGATGATCGTAGTCGTTGTTTGACAGAACACTGGTGACTATTCGTGCGTTATAAATCTAAAAAACAAAGTCAAAGTGATCAATTTTAGAGTCGAAGCTCATATGACGTTCGATGAAAAACCAATCTGGTGTTCATATTTCGCATTCGTGATGTTTCAAAAGATCACAAATGCGATTGTTCAGCAATGTTCGATTAGTTAAAGTTGAAGTATTGAGGTTTACCCGTGAAGTACTTACTTCACTTGATGATCTCAAATCGTGAGTTGATACATTGTCGATTGATCTCGTATCGAGAATTCTGAGTTGATTGTTTCAAATCACAGATGCGATTGCTTTTCTTTTATTTCATTTGTCAGTAGATAATTCCACTGCTGAACAATAGTCGATGATAGAACTGGCATAGAGGATCGAGTTGGCTGTTATTGTATTTAAGAGTGTTGTTCGATGAGACAGATGACGGCTGTCCTCACATGAAGACAAAAAGTTTTTTCATTGAGAGACAATCGTCAGCAGTATAATACGACACTGATGCACAATGTTTGATCTGTATGATATTCATAGGAGAACGAATAGGATCAAGCGAAAAAACAGACTGACCTATTTCTTGATGAAAACAACAAGTTCCATCTAATAGTCTTAACTCTTGCTTTTTAACAATCGATTTAGACTTGACAGAAAGCACTGAATTGAGTATATATAATAATCATGGATTGATAACTGAATGAGAAAAAGCATGTCAATAGGAGTTGCACTTACTGTTAGAGCATTGATTATTATAAAAACCGACACCTTCAAGATTATCCACTAATGCACGACGTCACAAAATTAAACATTGTATTTAATTAAAGTAAGTTCTTGGTTAATTATAATCAGTGTACGATTCATTTTCGTGGATTTGAATGACAAGTAGTAATAAAATGAACAATAAAGTCGATTAGAATCAAGTTTCTCTGCAGATTATAAGCATAGCTAATAGTGATAATCATTTTTCTCGATTACGATGTGATTCTACTCTGCAAAAGAATTATATTTCAATCTATTTTATTTTTGATCGTATTGCAGGATAGTTGAATTTTACACTTTGATTATAGCTATTGAATTTCGATATTTTAATGAGTTTTAGTTGGAATTTGTTTTTTACAAAATAACTCAAAGAATTGATCGGCATTCATTGAATTATATTTACTCCCTACTCTTTTCCATAAAGCTTTCTTCATATAGAATGCATCATAAGAATATCTTTAACAAAGGAGACATCATCTCTGGAACGGTTTCATGCTCGATTGATATTGTCAATTGAATACGAGAGTCCATTGTAAAATTATCACTCATTCGAAGTTTTTGAGTCAAACGAGAGCTATTTTCATGCTAGATAAGTATGCTCTAGGTCATCATGTAGTATTATAGGAGTACATGTTTCTCTACATCACTGGAAGCCGGTATGTTCATGTACTTTGAAAATAGTGTCAAGTCTTATTGAAACATTTCAAGAAACCTCATTTGACTTAGTTTCGAATTCTATCAGTAGTTTTAAGCTTACTTTGTTTCATTGTAGTCAGAAATGGATGTCATCATGCGAAAATATCTTTTTATGAACACTTGAATCTAAATGTGATCGTTCATTATTCTAGATAGTAGATTTTGCATATCATCATTGCCTCACGTGCTCATCATTTTCTGTATAGATTCAGATGTTTTTATTTGATCTCTTCTTACACCTATGTTTCACTTATAAGAAACATAAGAAAAATATTTCAAATGAAATGAACACAGACTATCTAGTCTATGATGTCTTCATTGTTTGCGTCAAGCCAAATTTAAAATCTTTTTCTTCAATTCTCCTTTTACTTGCCAACTAAGACAACGAACACTGCCACCCATGAAACAAACTTTCTCAGCTGGTACAGCTATTACTTTCTTAATTGTATGAGATTGAATTAAATCGAACATTGATGTATCATGAGGACCATTAAATGTTGGCATGTAGAGGTATTGATCAGTTACGATGGCATTGACAAATATGTTACAGGCAGAAGTGAAACCTTTCCAAGTAGCATATTGATAATAATCAGGTATTTCAATAATCTTGACACCCGGAAAAGATTTTTCGAGTTCACCCATAATCTGTGTTCTCTGTGGTTCAGAAGCTTGCGATAAAAGAATCTTGTCATTGCTCACCCACATAAGCATTCCATCGGCATGGCCAGTTGTGTCATCGGGCAACTCTGGAATGATGGCTATTTGATGAACACCCATAATGTGTTTGAGTTGATCTTTTGCATTTGCGTTTGTCAATTGAGGATTATCCTTTAGAATTCGATCGGTAATGATAACGCGTGAACCATCAGGATTATCGACGACATTTCCGCCGTCAAGAATGATGTTTGACTTTCTTTTGTAATTCAAATTATTGTCAGAGCACCATTTCTCAAAGCTATTGTCAATCAAATTTGCAATTGATCTGCGATGATAATTAGGCAAATATCGAAATTTGATCTGTTGAGAGGGTATGACGGGAGAAAAGTCACGAATCCAAATATCTTCTATGTTGGCTTCGATCAGAATATTGTCAGCCACTTTCCCATTGAAATATGGTAGTGTGGCAGCATCTGCTAGAATTACTATCTCGTCTTTATCACGAATAAGGTGTGCAAAATTCACCATATAATCAATAATTTGCTCGAATACAGCCCGATAATAACTGTTTTTGATAGACGGTGCTGCCAGAACAATGAGTGTCGTCTCTTCTGAACTATCAAAGTTACGTGTAGTTTCTTCTCTCGCTAGATTTGCTGCACCAGCGGAAGCCATACCAAGGATAATTATCAGATCAATAAGAATCCATGTCTAGAATCATACAAGAATGCATATAGAATGATTAAATCTTTCTCATATTGTGAAAATAGAATCAAGTGATTGCAACCTATTACATGATAAAAATGTGTTTAAAAGTTGAATCTCATGAATCGCTTGAGCTCTCAGGAGTTCAGCTTAAAGTTAGAGGCAGACATAAAAAAGAAATCGACCAATAAACTCATCCTAATCGTCGATATACATTGCAAGATCCTACCAAATTGATTGTGTAAGAATTTCTCACCCCTAATTAGAATAAAGTGTCATGACTTTTCGGTGCATTAGGGATTGCGCATAAATCATCTTCACGATTGAATACTCAACAGAAAACAAAAATAGAAATTTTCATCTGCTTCTCCATTTACCATAATACAAATTAGAATAATCAACTGATTTTTATGATCATGTGTCATAGATAACCAGTGAAATGGAAGAAACAACCTTTCTAAAATCACACTTCACCTTATGCAAGAGAACATTGCGTCCAAACATGGTTGATATAATTTGTGAAATTTCTATCGATGTGAATATCAATGAAAGTAATGTCAAAAATACGGCTGTTTTTATTCCATGGTAAAATAGTCTAACACGAACGGAGATACTTACATGCACGATGAAATTACAAAATTTAGTATTTATAAAGGTGCAATATGCTGCTACTTAATGTCAATATTTTTTTTAGAAAGCCTTTCAATGATGGCCATCAGTGAAATAAGTCGATCGTTTGTTCCTATTTAGCTAGTGATCATATTACTTTTTATCTGTATTGATTTTATTGACAAAGAAAAAAGGCTGTGACGATATCTACTTTTCTCGATGAATAGGAGTGTAATTCTATGGACTGAGTCGTATCTACTGCTGGCATTGATCCTGACATTTTAAAACATCTCCAATGCCATAATACGAAAATAGGTGATAGAGTTGGAAATTTTGCAGCATGCATAATCAATTTTTTTCGATATCCTTGTTTCCATATAGTTCCCATATTTGAGTAGCGGTAAATTATTATTATCGTAGCAATTTGACTGAATCGATGAGTAAATTTGACGCAATTTGTAGTATTGTGAATGAATTTATTAAATTTAATATTGAGCATCGTGAAGAAACTATGCATGATAAACAGTTATATATATCTGTATTTGCAGTTGAAAACTCATCAGCACTAGCGGTTATCTACATTGTTTTATATACTCATATCGTTGTAAATTATGCTGGATCATTGGGATGATTCATCTCCATTCAACTGATTCATATTGTGTATCACAAATTGTCAATGAGAACCAGCGAAATGTAGATCAACTGAAGAATAAGGCCGCGTTTTACGTACTCAATTGAATTTATCCGATTGTTCAATATTTAATTGATAAAAGCAACCTATTCTGTTGGGACAATCATATTGTTGAAGAGAAAGCTTTTGCAACATTAAGTCACTTAAATATTAAACAGCAAAAGGAAAACTTGAGCTTGACTTGCAAACTGAACAAGGGAAACGATCTACAAATATCGTGTATTTTGAAGAGTTAAAACCGTGATCAAGCATCACTAGAGAGTGTGCTGTACAGAAATATTTGCAAAACTCAACTGATATTCTTGTAAGTGATAAGTACATGACTGTTTATTCGTATAGGAATCGATCACTCATCCTGATTCATAACGAGTTGGAGGTGTCTGTTAAATGTTGGACTCTAAGTAACCTTATGTATCCTTAAAAAGTGGGCATTTCTATTGGAAGTCATCGGTCTTACACTGCGAGTCTAGTCTTTCGAAGAATCTAAGGGTTCGCGTAACAGAAGCCTACCGTTTCTCGTGACTGTGTTATTGGGGTAATGTGGTTCCTTGCTGTCAGTTCTGTTTTATGTTGAGACAATGAAACAAATAATCAATAGTAACAAAGTGTAACAATAATAATAATAATAATAATCAGATGATGAGAAAAACAAATTCAAAGAAGAAGGTATATTAATACGACCATCATAGAGGATGAAAAACACCAATAACAAAAGACAAGTGTTATCGGCAAAGAGTGGCATCTGTTGAAGCCCATGTGCCTACTTCACCAAAAAGAAGTATCTAAAGTATTATTATGAATGTCATCGGTTGCCTTTATTTTAAGTCTAGACTGCCACTTCTGTATAGTTAACACCGTGCACTACTTGCTATTGCCTTACTTGCAGAATCAAAGTCAATTCATTTTATGCAATCATGGTTGAGGATGAATTTTTTAGTAGATGTTTCAATTCCATCCAATAAGCGACAATGATTCTAGAATATGTAAAGATAAGCATTTGGGTAACCCAGTGATCTGAGAAATCATTCAATTGATTCACTCTTCGCTGGTTAACCAATCAAGAGTTACAGCTCAAAATGTTGTCAATCAGATGTGCACGAGCAAGAGTGCAAATAAATGCAATCTGAGAATACCATCAAGAAGAATCAGATGCTGACATTATTATAAGATGACTTGAGTTTGAATGAAGAATAGATAAAAGAAGATGACACTGAATACGAAATGAAAAATGATAGTAAGAAAGATATTTAGAAGTGAATGACTGCATAAGAGAGTGAAGAAATGAGTACCACAACGAATCTAGGAAATGACAGATGTGGGAGAAGGCGTTCTAGAAAAGAAGATTCCCAGCTACATTCAAAAAAGACGCTCTGCAAAGTTTGGGACCGAATAATTTGTTATTTTTAGTTATAAAATTTTATTAGTATCAAACCAATTACAAATCAATTTCGAATATGTCGAATCAAGCGGTTTAATACGGTTTTGATCATCTGTTTCTTTGTTTGTTTTTACAGCTTGAATACTTGCTGCTATCATACAACTCACTGTTAAATCGAATTTTTCTGGTATTGTTGGATTTAACAATCCTAAAAATGTAATAGGCATTCCACCATTAACAACAGTTAAATTTCGTCCATTTTCAATTTGAAATTTTATATTACGATGGATATCTTCATTATCTAATTCATCAACTTGTCTATCGCATAAGCTTATCGACATCTTAGTATAATTGCCATTAAATAATGCACATTCAACCATTTCATGAAATGGAAATTCAATAGTTGCTGATGATACGCTTATTAAATAAGAATTATCACGTAATAATGACAAAGCTGAAATTGGTAATGAGCAACGGCCAGCACAACCAATAATATAATCGAATTCTTCTTTATTATCCCACTGATCAAATATTTCAAAACCATCATCTTCTGCTAATTTACGTTTAGCAATATCTCGATCCCATACTTTGACCGAACTTTTCGAGAACATTCCTAAATCACCCTTATGTGTAAAAGCATAACCAACTGCTTGTCCAATAGCTCCATAACCAAGTAATAAACACTGTTGTAATTTATGTGGCTTCGGAATTCGCAAATAAAGTGGTGCATCATAAAATAAATATGATAACATATTTAGAGTAGCTTCAGCAATAATCGGAGGCTCTAGTCTTTTTTTGGGTTCACTGGATGCTACATCGATAATAGATATTCCAAATTGATGTAATGCCAATGCTATTTTTGGTTGATCGACATATTTAAATAAACCACGTGACGTTTGTTCAACAAGACGAACTTCAATTGATCGAAGATACGATATAAGAGATGTTGCATCTGATTGTTGTAGTTTCAATGATAATGGAAGATTTTCAACTAATTCATTTGGATCTAATTTTCCATTATCAATATCACATAGAGTTGCTAATGCTTCAGAAAAACAACCTCCATCATCTAATACAAGTAAATTATTATGTTTAACTCTTTCGTTCATTAATTGCATTTTCATCATTCGATTTAACATAAATATAACATGAAGTAAACGATATTTGTCATAATTATATCGTAAACGATATGATGATGATTGAAAAAAATTTTCTTTTGGAACTCCATAATTTTTTATTACAAATAATTCAAATTCTTTATGATGTGTATATGGTGGTGGAAGAAAATATATATTCGAAGGTAATGCACCTAGAACAATAGATGCTTCGACTTGTGCAGTAACATCACCTAGTTGATGTTGAATATTTAATATTGTATAATCTTGTAATGGTTTATCATTTTGAACTAATTTTACTATTGATGACAATAATGGAAGATTTGTTAGACGAATGCATTGTTGAGGAACACGAGTTTGAAATGGAATATGAGTCGTGCTGTTGTAAGTATGAATAAATCGACCGATAAAAGATAATCGAATATGAGTGAACGATAATTTATATAGTGCGGAAATAGTTGATCGCATGCAAACAGATGAAGAAATACGTAAATAAAATTGTACAGTACTGAGGACTTTTCTTCAAAGAAAACTTTAAAAATGCAAATTACGACAAGAACACCAATCTCCATCGTCTGAACACTTGATTCTACAATAATACTCTTTAAAGTGCTCAGTAATT